TTTAGCATAAAAGCCCCACTTTCTTTGAAGAGTGGCCTCCTCCTTCAGCCACTCATTGTATGAATGCCACACTCTTGAGAAGAAAAACTTAGAATATTTGGGGACATTTAAGTGGTGAATGTTTTCAGTCTGAGTATTTTATGGAAATGTCCTTTATAAAAACTTTTTTTTCCAAAGTTAACTCTGGAAAATAGTGTATTTTAAAGACTCAATCTGATACAGATGAAACTCGAGGTTAATGCCATTGTGCCTCCCTATAGTGTAAGTGTTATTTGTGCCCGTGTTAGTGTATCAATCTAAAAACAGGACATAGAATGGTCTTAGTATTCTTGGTTTTCATTTCCACTCTTTACTATTTTGTTGCAAACAAAAAATGGACGATTAAAAATTGCTGTGCCAAAAAATGGGCACAATGACTAGGGACTGTGTTCTGTTATCATGGGTTCCTCTGTTGTCTACTTTTCTATTTGTCAAGTAAGTACATGAAGCCGGGCGCAGTGGCTCATGATTGTAATCCCAGCATTTTGGGAGGCTGAGCCAGGCAGCTAACTCAAGGTAAGGAGTTCGAGACCAGCCTGGCCAACATGGTGAAACCCCATGTCTACTAAAAATACAAAAGTTGCACACCTATAATTCCAGCTACTCAGGAGGCCTAAGCTGGAGAATCACTTGAACCCCGAAGACAGAGGTTGGAGTGAGCTGAGATTGCACCATGGCATTGTAGCCTGGGTGGCAGGACAAGACCCTGTCTCAAAAGAAAAAAAAATAAGTCCACGAATGCCTGCTAGCTGATAGTTGAAAGGCTCTGAAACATTTTGTTTGCAACTCTGAAGGAGCAGAGTCCAGTGGGAAAAGCCAGCTGCAAGCCAGTGATCTTGATAGCATTGTTTGCTGTGATAAGGAGTCGTGTGGAGCAAGTGTGGTTGGAGCTCCACAGAAAGAAAGGCTCACCACTTTATGGGGGAGAGGTGGAGATTCCGAAGCTTGGTTTTTGGGGGAAAAAAAAAAGACATTCAAACAGAAGTGTAGCAGAAGGGAGAAAGGCAAGGAAGAGACGGCGTTAGAACAAACTGAATCCAGAGAACAGCCACAAGTCCCACCCAGCTGGAGCACTGGGGATGCAGGTGTGCGGACTGCAGGAGGCAGGTGTGTAGGGTTCACGGTGAACTGCAAATGCACTGTGTCTTCAGAGGAGGAACCAGTGAGAACATGAAGCAGAAAGGGGGCATAGTTCACTTATGTGGGCATAGTTTGCCTTTTAAGACGGCAGTTTGGGTGGCAACGAAGAGAAGTGAATTTACTGTGCAACGAGGGGAACCTGTAACATGTCACCATATAGAGCCTAAAGGTCAAAGAAGGAATCTTAGCTCTCAGAAAACTTACGTCTTAAAAACAGACTTCTGTATCATTATGTTTTTTGGGGGACTGGGGCAGTGATCCAGTTAATCAGGTCAAAGATGATGTGTATATACATACATACATGTTTTGATATAAAAAATAAAATTAACCAGGCACACTGTTGCATGCCTGTAGTCTCAGCTACTCAAGAGGCTGAGGTGGGAGGATTACTTGATCCTAGGAGTTTGAGGCTGCATTGAGCTGTGATCATGCCTTTGCACTTGAGTCTGGGTGACAAAGTGAGACCTTGTCTCAAAAAAAGAAAAACGAAGCATCTAAATACTATTTATGTGGCTTTGTAGAATGGAAGACTATGTAAATTTTGCATATAGATTTGAGCCACTCCTAGTCAAAGGACAGTTTTCATCTAAGACTTCTCATCTTTAAATATTGTCTTTCCCCTTTTTGTGCTGAGTCCCAGTGGGACACGCTGTGGCTGCCCTGGCACGCCTGATTCAGTAACTCATGGGCTTCTGTCTATAGGCCTTCGTCTGTGCTCCGGATGGGTTTTTTGGATTTTGTTGTTGTTACCACTTACCAAAAATTACTTACACTGATTCTTATTCTCTTAGGTTTGATTATCTGTCTTCCCCAACTGTAACAAAAGTTCTAGGGGAACCTTTATTTTCTTCACTGGTGGTTCCAAAGCACCTGGAATAGAGTCTAGCACATGGAAGGAGGGAATATACCCTCTTATGTCATTACATCAGCAGCTACTACAGGCTGAAATCAGAGGCTGCAGACCTACACATGGCCAGCAGGACTGTTCCCTTTGTCATATTGTTTGAAAACTTAAATTGGGAACATTCATTTAACAACTTTTCTAGTTTCTCTAAAAAAACTAGTTCTGGCAACAAGGCCACGTGCCTGTCCTCTCCTAAATGGGGCACAGCCTTCCCACTTTCCTACAATTTCCTGTTTTCTTCCCCACTTTAAGGCTATCAGTTCCCATATTCAAAAACTAGAAATAGAATGTTAGAACACTGGGATTCTTACACTTGGCCCACAATTACCATATTTGTCAATGGTATTAGAATTTGAGTTTGTGACTCTAATCTTTACACATGGTCCTTCCAGGTAATGTATTTGTGTTGTGCTTGGAGCATTTTGAAGACTTAAAATGTGTAGTGTCACGGTTTAAAATTGTATACACTGAGGTAGGAGAAACATTTTAGGCTGTTAGAGCTTCCAAGTCACACCACAAGGGTAGATGCCTTCTTTATCTGTACGTGGGAAAATTGGGCAAAATTTAGATCTCTCATTTCTTCTCATTTTCTTGAAAGCTCTTTTCCCTAAACCCTCAGTTTCTGCAGTGTGCATTGCCTCTTAATAATACCTCTTTTTACATTTGGAATCTTTCTCCAGATAACCATATATTCACAGAGGTATTGCAAAATCTTATCTGATACTCGATTCAGTTTGAATAGGGTATTTCTTGTCACTAAGTTCATATACATTTATGGCTTGGCCACAGTCTGCTTAGCACAGCCTGGAAGTAGCCAGTTAGAAACCATCTGTGAGAGATCAGAGCTGGTCCAAGAAGATCACTCAGGCCTCAGAGGAGTTTTTCCTCCTGTTTGGCAATGCCCATAACTTAAAATCACTGGCAAAGAACAAATCACTAGTTTCACGTTTGAGGGAACTTGATAACCTAGGGGAGACACAGGTCACTTCTCAGTATCTGATTAGCTAAATACCAGACTAATTCACAGACATTCTTGCCAAGAGTATGGGGGGATGTCACACAGCACAAGATGGCCCTGGCCGTGGCTTCACTCTGCCTAAAATGATACACTTAGGAAAGCTGAATCATTTTACTACAGAACAGAATAATTTTTATTAGTTGAAATAATGAACTACATTTAGAGATAATGGTATACAACTTTAGCCTCTCAGTCTTCTTTAGGTTATGTTCATGTTCTTAAAGTTTTTTTCAGGAAAGCTAGTGTATCTCTTTTTAAGTGAGCTTTATCCAGTATATGCATTTTTAAGCTAAAATACTTGCTTTAACTTATAGCCACTTTTCTACAATAAGGCTACAGCAGAAAGCAAGCCAGCTGAAGCTGCTGCCCGCCTGGAGCTTACATTCAGTTGTTGCATGATAAACAGATCAGGAAAGGAATAGTCTGTTAGGTAGATAGAGGCTGTGGGAAGTCTATGGAAGGAAGGTAGGTGTATGGAGGGTTAATAGGAAGATATTGACAAGGGAAGCTGGAGAAGGAGATACTTCATCTGAGACTTCAGTGCTGTCAGGCAGCCCAGTCGTGCAGACCATGGTCAGGGCATTCCAGAGAGGAGGAACAGCGAGTACAAACAGCCTTTAATGTGCACTCTTAGTGTGCTTAAGCCAGACCCAGCTGCCAGCAAGGCTGGAAAGGAAGGAGTGTGGGAAAGAGGAGGTGATGCCATGGAGCAGCCAGGGAGCAGACTTAAGTGCAGGGCCTTCTAGAGCATTGTGAAGACTGTAGATGTTATGTCAAGAGTGATGGCAAAACAAGCCATTGAAGGTTTTGAGCAGGGGAGCCACTTGATAAAATTCACATTTTAAAATCAATAAGGAAGATTGTGGTAATGTAGTAATAATACCTGCCATGGCCTGTATCGAGCACACATTATGTGCTAAGCACTCTGCATGTATTATCTCCTTAAATCTTTAAAGCAGCTGTATCATGATGGTCACTATGGCTATTCTCATCGAACAGGTGAGGCAATAATGAGGCATTTGGTCTTAAATAACTTGCCCACAGTCAAACAGATGGTAGAACCAGGTTTAATAAAATGGTGATGTTTCAAAATCCCTTACTACCTTTCATGAAGTATCACAGCATAGATCCTAGATATGAGATTTTTTTTTATTCATTTTACATCATTGTAGCCCTAAATTAAAGTTATCTTAAGGCTTATATAGCTTATGTTACAACTTTCCTCTTTTTCTGGATATTTTTTAAGTGTGAGAGTGGTATTTTCATATACAATAATATATCTTGTGATTGTAAAGAAGGATATGTAGAAGAAACACCCCAAAATGAAACCTCTTGATAATCCTATAGAAAGAACTCAGGTTCTTGACCTGTGGATTCAGAATTGTATCTCAGTATCATTGACTTTTTTAGTAATCTTATGAAAACATTATTCTGACAAAAGAATCCATAGGCTTCCTTAGACTACCAAAGGGGCCTGTGGGTGTGGAGGCAGTATGCCCAAGATTCCCGTGACTCGCGGCAGAGCTGCTGCAAATGCTACTGGATTTATTATGTTTAGAGTAAGGGGAAATATGATGGTACGTGCAAGAGTGACCACATGTCCTGATCTGCCCAGGATTGCCCTAATTTATATCTTTGTCCAGATGTAATTATTAATATCACTCTCAAAAGTATCCCAGAGAAAACAAGTTATTTGGCCACTGTTACCTATGTCTGTTATCAAGAAAGCAGTGGTGACAGATATAGCAAATTGAGTGCTATTACCAGGACATGTGCTAGAGGCTGCCCACCCCTGAATTCAAACCTGCCACGGTAATGAATGGTTGTAATTGAAGCTGTAAGATTACACAAAGGAGACGACCGAAGAAAATATTTTTAATCATGATTTCTCTTTCACAGCCAAAAAAGAGCATAAAATGGAAGAAAGTCACTTGGAGAATGCACAGAAAAGGTAAGCAGCTCTGATTTAGCCCTAATTCTTTCTTTGGCTAGCCATTCTTTATTATTATCATGAAGTGCATTCATTTTGTTATACAATTCTATCTCCAAAACATTTTCACCTTCCCCAACTGAAACTTTGGACCCTTTAAACACAAATTGCCTATTCCCTGCTCCCCTGTCCCCTGGCAGCCACCATCCTCCTTTCTGTATCTCTGACTTTGACCACTTTAGCTACCTTTTACGGTTGGGTCATCCGGTATTTGTCCTTATGTGCCTGGCTTCTTTCTGTAGCATGTTTGACTAGCCATGCTTTCAGCCTCTATGTTAAGACTATACATCCGTAAGCAGTAAGCTTCACTTGGAAGCTGGAGTGAAGGCAGTGTAACAGGACTTAGGAATAGTTTTCCTCAGGAAGCAGGGATCATCCAGAAGTGACTCACCTACCTCACACACATGTCATGACATTATTCTGCCTGTTTGCCTCTTCTGCATTGCTCTGCTCCTGAACCACTTCATGAAAGTCAGGGACAGTTTGATCCTTCTTATCATTACAGTTAGATCAAACTAATTATTGCAGACACCTAAGAGACATATCTTTCCTCAGCTTCTAGAGGAGGATATTAAAAACAAGGAGCAGATAGGAAGAAGGGGCTGTCCATATGCCCATATAGCATATGGACAATTCCCCCCAGAATTTAAAGAAGACCTCAGAGGTCTTCTGCCCAGCCTCATGTCACCTACTGCAGGCGTCTTCCTTGCTTTCTCTTTGCCAATAGACACCAGAGGGGAACCATACACTCCCCCCAGTAGAATCTAATCATCAGCAGTTCTCACCCCTTAGAGCTTTTTCCTTTTTGTTAGTTGATGAGGTCAACTTGGCTTTCCCTCCCTCATAGAAGAGTGAGTGGCAATAGACAGAAGTATTCTCATATTTGGGGATGAAATTTGAGGTTATGTTATGCTAGTACCAGTTCTAAAAGTACTGGTAAATTAGATGAGAGGTAGGGGTAGGAGAAAACATATAAGGAAAAATGAGCTTTCCAAATGTGTGAGAGGAACAGTTTCCCACTTAGGAATTTAAATGCAAATAAACACATTGTAGAAATGAATCATTTTCCTCCTGTCTAGCCACAAGTTCCGAGACTTCTGAAATCCCATAGACAGTGCCATCTGCCCTACTTTCACAGGTGCCAGCATCTTGCCGTGCTTCCTGCTATAATTACCAGTAAGATTAAAATGCTGGTGAAACCAAAGTGAAGGCAAGTCTTGCACTTTGCTAACTACAGACATGTTCTTAAATCATGCTTATTTTAGCATAATAATCATTCAAAACTGGGATAACTCCATGGTTATGCTTTTAGGAGTTTGTGTCTCTCTACTGACCTTATTCCTATATTAAGCTTCCCTCCCCAATGCATAAAACTAGCATGCATGTGTTATAGAAAAAATATGCAGCACATAGAGAAGAGATTATCAAAAAGGGCACATTGGTGTCAGGCCAAAGAAATTCAGTTTCCAGGATGGACGTCAAATTTCTAATAATTTTTCAAGATTCTTGCTGAAGGAAAAGGGGACCCACCGTAGAGGAGCCGAAGCTGCTGCCATGCATTAGCTATGCAGAGGGCAGTCATAAATTTTAGTTGTCAGTCCTTTCCGTGGCTTTGTGGTGAAGGTAGTCTAGCTTTCATGTCATACATGAAATATGTTATATCCCATCTGTAATGTAGAAACCACAGTTGTTTGGTTACACTCTTTAAGGAGGTTGTGGTCAGTGTTGCAATATTTGTGCGAGATCTAGTAAATTCTTATGTTTTATTCTCAAGAGAAACAATTTACTCTGAGGGTAAGGAGTATTTGCTTTTCCTAAGCAGTTTCTGAAGGGCATGCATGTAAGACAATAAGTGGATGTGTTCCGCTTTGGCATCTCAGCACTGTAAAAGTAAAACAGTTCACTTTGCTATGAGATCTTTGATGTAATCATTGTCTGCACTTTATAAATGTTTGGCCGAATTAAAAAGATACAAATCAGACAGGAAATTATAGCAGAGACAAAAGGGGTCAGAGAATAGTTTGCAGTGACATAAAAAAGTTATATAAAACAAAATATATGATTAGAAATCAATCTTTTAAAAGTTGAGAGCCATTTTAGAGCTATCTGCTGACAAATAGAAATTTCAAATCGCATCATTGACCTTTGTTTCCTGTATATTGGAGAAAATTCTCCTGGTTGTTAAATATCACCAATCTTCTTGCCCAAATTGCAAAAGATTTTCAATGATCAGCCTTCTGTGAATCAAAACTGAATTTAAAAGTGGAGTTTTGTGTAGGAAAGATAACAGTCTAGACCTTAGCAGATCACTGTAGGTTCATACTCTAGCTTTTAGCTTTTTCTTAAACAATGAGATAACAATGCAATCAAGTAAGGCACATACTGGAAGTGACTTTGTGTTTTAAAAACTGCTGAGTGCCAAAGCCAGACCATCCTCTGGGACTCTGTTTGCTTTGGTTCTTCTAAAGAGGTTCACTTGCTTTTTTAGTTTCCAAAACACATAGAAAAAAGTAAATGCTAAAATTTAGTATTTCTCTTAGTGTTCCCCACCCTTTCAGGAAGAGTAAGCATGCAGGACCTCACAAATCCCTGGAGAGAGAGGCAAGGATGGCAAAGGTTAGCTTCAGTTTAGAGTTGGGAAAATCAAGGCCTCAGGAAAATGACATGCTTTTCTCAGGACCTGCGACAACCACCAAATCACGCTGTCATTCTCTGAAACTACACCAGGAATTACAATATGTCGATCTCACAATCTAGACTCCAGGTAAGGCTAGAGGTGTCAGGTGATCCAGAACCACTATGTTCTGCTGGAAAATTGGAAGATAAGTCGTTCCTCTAAATACTAGAAATGCAACTTTCCCTTCCCCATGAATGCTCAAATGAATATGTATCTGTATAGAATGTGTACATAAGAAAGAGAAAATAATCGTGTGCCCTCCCTGGGGTAATGCATGTTATGTGTGATACAGAGGACAACTGTCTCTAAAGTAGAAAAGGGTGGGAGAGAACAACTATTTTGTCTCTTAAATGCCTGTGTTACCCAGCATGAGCAACAGAAAGATAGAGCAGACAGAACATTTCACAAAAAAATCAGGGGATCTGAGTTCTAGGCCCAACCCCATCAGTGAATAAGGTCACGCACTCTTTCCAGGCCTCTGTTTTGACATCTGTAAAATGATAATTTAGCAAGTCATCCTGTAAATTCTTTCCCAATCTGAAGTCCTGTGACTTTATAGGAAATGCATGGCCTGTTTCTATAGGCCATATAAGTCTCTACTTATGTATTCCCATGCTATGATCAAAGTAATTTTCATTTGAATGAAAGTTGCATGCTACAGAGTATACCTTTGGTTTTACCACTATTTGGACTGCCATGGAGTTAAGGGTTATGTCTGGGGCAAGAGTGGACATTGGCACTTTCTTCCCTTACTGGTTGTGCTTCCCATTATGTGTGTTTGGAATTATAATAGAGTCCCGTGAGAGATTACTGCAGTTATTGCCTTTCTCCACTTATGCACTTCCAGTCTTTTAATAACTGGGAGCCAAAATTCCCTGACCAGTAGTTTTAATTTGCATTAAAAACAGATTTATTCTTTACAGAAGCACAAAGAATTTATGGGACTCAGAGCTGCAGTTCCAGCTTGGATCTTGCCTAATCGTAGCCATGGAATCAATTAACAGTTCATCTGTGAAATGTGATAAAATCTTATGAGATACATATTGCCCAATAACTGAGAACGAGATGAAAGTATGCTCCATAATAGTAACAGGGCTTCAGGGTTTTACAATTGCCATTGAATATAGTTCCATTAGAAAATCAGCATTCAGGATGGCCACAAAAAAAAAAAAAAAAAAAAAAAAATGAAAAAATAAAAAAAAAAAAAAAAAAAAAAAAAAAAAAACCAACAACACATTAAACACCAAAAAAAAAAAAAAAAAAACCGCTGTGTCTGAACAGATGATAGAGCATTGAGTAATAAACCTGGCCAGCCATTCCTGCTTTGATTAGTTTCCAACACCCTGGAAAAGGGGGCCATTTATTTAAGTGTTCTTGCTCATGGCAAATGAGCTTGTGAGGCTTGGGGTAGGTGGGGGTGAGGGGGAAAGATTAGTTCAAAGCTATAAATTGCTGCAAAGCTAGTGCCTCCAAGAAGGGCTGCTTGGGAGGCCCAGGTAGTCTGGTGTGCAGAAAGCCTTGCTGAGGTAGGTCTTATTGCTATCTTGGAGTTCACTCTGGAAAACTGGGGTTCTTTTCTGACGAGATTGGACATCATTTTTCAAGATCAAAAATGGTTTTTCATCCAAAACCTGCCATGCCCACAACTGTATCTATTTTTGTACATTTGTGGTTTGTATTCTTGTATCATATTAAGCTTTAAAAGGTAGCCCTCTTAAAGATCGTATCATCTACATCTCTTATTTTATTCTTGAGAAAATTGAAAGTCAAAGATGCTGAGTGACTGACCCAAGATTACAAAGCCAGGATATGCCAGAATAAGGATAGAATGGATTTTCTTGCTTTTCTGTGAAACATTTGACAGGTTAATTATTTCCAATGAGCTATCAAACTGACCACTGTTAATATTACAGTGTTTCATCAGTCTTTCATGTAATCACTAAACATAAAATGAAGAGCAGGGAAGAGACATGGATCTGGGATGAAGAACAAACTCAAGAAATTTTACCTGCACAACCCCAGAAATTATACATGCTGATTTTATACAGATAAGATGTGCCTAGGAACATCCCAATCAGGTTGCATTTCTTGGCAAATCGGTTTGGGCAAGTACATTTTCTGAGGCTTAGAATAAACTTCAGTAACTATGAGCCCCAGCTTCTGTGTTAGAGAACAAACCCACAGGAAACTGTCCCCAGTGTCCCCTCTCTAATAGGTTTTGGTATTGACAATTTCTCACCCACTGCCTCATTCCATCTGCCCCTCTACCTGTTGCAGCTTTGAAACAACAGTAGGATATTTTGGGATGAAGCCAAAGTCTGGCGAGAAGGAGATCACACCCAGCTACGTGTTTATGGTGTGGTACGAGTTCTGCAGTGACTTCAAGACAATTTGGAAACGGGAGAGTAAAAACATATCTAAAGAAAGGTAAGGTTCAAATAAAAATGTTAATGCCTCCTTCAGGAGTCTAGGAAACTGCACTCTTAAACCTAACAAAGTATGTCTATTTCACACGTGTTGATGTTTTCTTGTGGATCAAGTGGTCATCAGGGAAGGACTTTTGCCTCAGGGATCGTAGGGAAAATCAGGGAAAGCTTGCTGTCCCCACAGGCAGATAGGCTCACATGATCTGATAAGTTACACTTTCTTAACCGCTTCCAATTACTAGCTAGTAAATGAAAGGAGAGTTGTGCTAATTTGCAACAGATTGCTTCTCTGTGTATTTTCATGTTGGCCCAGGCTAAATGAGGCAGCCTTGCTGTCGCAGACAGTATAGACAAATAAAAGTGAATGCTTTTCCCATTAATATACTGAACTTGCATCAAAGGAAAATCTCTGTGACTCGGGCCACACTTCACACAGTGTGGAAACCCCGCATTGGATTTACAGCGCCACTTCTGACTCCCCGTATCCTGCTGCGGACATCAAACTGTGTGCCGCTCAGCCCCATTGCAGCCCCTGATTTTATTAGCTGGGAGTAGAAGAAAAACCTCAACTCTGTAGACGGGCGTGCGTATGTGTGTGTGTATGTGCGCGCGCGCATGCATGTGTCTGTGTATGTTCATTTCCCTTGGAGAAATTCAATTTGCCCCTCTATATCAGAAAAAAAGCATTTCTGCTTGATCATTTTGCAATCATATTGCCACTGTTCTGTAAAGGATGTCATGGATTTAAACTTCAAACAGCTACTACTCCTGTGGAACAGATGTATATGAATGGCGTTCAAAACAGTAAAAGGAGGCAAAAAGATTCCTCAGTGTAAGGAAAATTATATGTGTAATTAGCACCTACACTTTACTAACCATTGAGGCCTGACATCATTGAGTATTCTTCACTTTGTAATCAAAAATATATACATATTTATAGACACATTACAACCTACTCTAATATTTCACCTTAAAACACTAGTAAGAGGATCAAAATTGAGATTTTTGACATAGTATTGAGTCTCCAAGTATTTTGTCAGAGAACTAGAAAAAGAAAAAGGCCTTCTTTCTTTCTAAGGAAGTTAAAGAACTTTAAAACCGTTTATCAACACATCTTCCCATCATTACCTCTTTGGGAACATGGGAATTATACTGAATATATCCATTATATAGATAAACTGAAACAGAGAAAAGTACCATTGTTGAGAAAATAGGTCGTTGATAATAGCATGAAAAAAATCCTAAAAATCTTGGCACCCAACTCATTGCTCTTGCCCTGCAATCACTTATTTAGCCTTTTAAAGTAAGCTAAAATAAGTTTCTCTGGGATCAATTCTCATACGAAAATGCTGTTCTTATACCCGCATGGGAGCTGGCCAGTGTGCTCTCCAGGTCTACATGCCTTAAGGCTGGGACATCCAGCCGTGGGCCTGGAACGCACAGCTTTTGCTTTAGAATTTGCACCTCAGATTTTGAGCACAGTCCTTAATTTATTTGTCTTTAGGGCCCTAAAAATGGTCTAAAACAAAAGACTAACAGAGAAGGCAATTAGTTGCTTTTCATTTTAATAATCTTCTGTTGAAATACTGAACCATATTCCAAATTAAAGAGTTTATATCGCAAAATTAGACCAAAGAAATTGTGAGTCTGTCATAGAGGTGGTATCCAGAAGTCCTTTAAAATGACAGTATCTGTGATTCCCAGCCATGGGTGTTTGCGGCATTGCTTCCTGGGTGCAGCTGTTGAATTGCCTCCTTCACACTCTGTAAACCAACACCTTTACAGGGTCATGACTTCACAAGACCCTTTTCAGTTCTTCTCATTTAGCAGTTTCAGGGGACCCTTCATTCCAGCCATGCTCTGTGAGGATGGATTGCCAAGATTTCCACCCTAAAACAACATCTCTAAGTTGATGATGGCTAATAAAATTTTTTTGGAGGCAGCAGCATAGTTAGGAAAATGTTAAGAAATATCAGCACGTTATGTGTATTACTGCCAAACCAGTTAAACAAACTGATTAATATCCAGGGTTTTCTTGAAATCCTGAAGTGAGAACTTTGTTAAATTGTTCTCTGTCTGCTAAAGACTTTAGCTTCTTAGCTGTTAGAATCACACATTCACTTTGGTAAAATAAGCAATTAAATTTAAAAAAACACAATTGCTTTGTTTTGACATCCATTAATGATATTTGATATTATAGTTTCAATTATACTTTCCCCAGAAAACCAATATATCCCAACAACACTAAAAGTCAGGAGGTAACAAAACATCATTAACAAGGGCATCCTAAAAAATAACCAAATAAAAACCTGATCATGTGTCATTATAAGGAAAAAAACTAGTTTGGGATCCCATCAGAAAAAATTAACTCCATTTTTAAATATACCTGAAGGCCAACTAAGTGCTCAAAATCATTGGCAAAATTAACAATAGTAGCATTTTTAAAGGGACAGGCTTCATGGAAAATAGTGTTTAAATTCTACTTCCAAATGAAATGCAAGTGTTGAAAACTATGAAGGCCACTTGAGGTTAATTTTGGTGGTAGAGAATATTTACTTTTCCTGCTTAGGATAGTTTTCATGAGTACACATTAGCTTGATGCAAAATTGATATGAATGCATCTTCATAGTAAGGTAACTTCCCCTCAGAAAATCGAGAATAATCTCTAAACACACAAACAACCACATAAAAATGTCCAAAGTTCTGTGCCTTGTGAGTGGGCAACAACCTTATCATTAAACTAGTGTCAGGGCACAACTGTATGGTTGAGTAGAAGAAACAGTATGTCACTGAGGAATATGGTTTACCTGGAGATTAAGTGTATCTTTGGAAGAGCAATCTACTGTGTGATGGTATATTAACAGCATTCTATTTTCCTTGACATTCAAGCCAGTCTTAAGCAAAAGAGGAAACTTCTGTGCCCAGGCACAAATCTGAAAGTGCAACTTTCTAGACTTGCAGTCTGTGACCCAGTCGTCCGTCGTGCTGCCCCTGGTATCAGGACTCATCTTTCAGTGAAGCATCCAGTCCTTTCTCTTATCCCTTCTGAGTACATGCATTGCTGAGCAGTGTCAAAAAGACCTGGAGACAGAGCTGAAAATAGGCATTTTTACCCTTCAGCCCACCATTAATTGGCTATGTGATCTTGGGCCAGTCACTTATTCACTGGGAACCCAATTGTCACAACTGTAAAATGTATGTATTAGGATGAAGCAAGAACTAAATGGTGACTATGAGCTCTTCTAGCTCAAAATCTATATTAACCTAGAAACTACTGTCATTTTATGAGGAATTGTGTGGTTCAGGTCTGCAATCATGCCCCTCACCTTTGCTCTTGAGCTATAGGGACTAATTTGGAAGAGATTTCAAAGCAAGGACTTGCAGGGGAGTTGGGAGATTAGGTGGCAAGGAGAATTTTCATTGCCATCCTGAAACTAGTAAATGTCTGTAACTACCCTGCCTCACCCGAACCTCCAGTTCTTCTCATAAAATAATGTGGGTCTTTTTTTGTGTTGAGTCACCCAGGCTACAGTGCCACGGTGCAATCATAGCTCACTGCACTCATGACCTCCTGGGCTCAAGTGATCCTCCTGCCTCAGCCTACTGAGTAGTTCGGACTACAGCTGTGCACCACCATACCTAGCTAGTTTTATTTTTTGTAGAGACGATGTCTCACTATGCTGCCCAGGCTGGTCCTGAACGCCTGAGCTCAAGCAATCCTCCCACCTTCGCCTCCCAAAGTGCTGGGATTACAGGCACAAGCCACATGCCTGGCCCTAATGTTCATGAAGATCACATTTTTTTTTTACGGAGCATGTACACAAAACATTTCTCTGCTCATCTGTATCCAACATTTATGATGTATCAGAGTCCAAGGTTTATTTTATCCTCAGAAGCAGCTTTGCCTCACTTTTACCTTTTCATGTAAAGGTAAAAGGTGTTTGTGCCTCCTGATGTATACCAAAAATTAATTGAATGTTTGGACATGTTTCTTCCATGTATTATATCAATAGATGATCCAAGTATATGCACAACTGCAAGGAGATAACCTGATTTTTGCTGATACCATTATTGGCTATTCTTTACTCTTGTTTGCGTGATAGGACCTTACTTATAAAGCATTCCCCCATTTAGGATAGCCTAAGACTGCCCCCACATATACACACACTGCCTCCCACAAAATGAGCTGTGAATTTGCAAAAGGTACAGAAGGCCTAGGGGAGTCAGGACTCCAGGAATTAATTCTAGGCACAAAATTCACCCTGAGCCAAAGCAAAGTTTAAAAGTGCCATTTAAAAAACCCATAATGGGTAAGTAATGAGTGAATTAGAAGTTTGGTGAATTGTTTATGAAATGCAAATAAGAAATTTCACTATACACATAGCTATGATTTACACCATAGGGGAATGGATAGTTACTTTGTTTTTTCTTTGGAGGGCTGTTTTTCTCCCAGCCACATACCAACAGGGTTTTAAAGTATATTACTTGCTATTACTATGGGTAGTTATGGAACTGCTGTACCCTTGACAGAAGATAGTTGAAGGCTGTTGTGGGGCTATCCTGAAAGCTGTTCTCAGAGCTCCCTATTGCTCGGTCACTTTAGGACCAAGAATTGGGGACTTAGAGATACCGTCAATCTACAAAGGGGCCCCTTACTGCAGTGTAGAGTCTACGGGAATTCTTCTCTTTACGTGATAAACTTTTATTCCTAGAAAAAGCTCCATAAGTAAAATTTTTATTTATTGAATTCTGCTTTCCTGCTGACATACAGACATGATTTCAGTAACTTGTAATGTGTTAACTTTCTTTTCCTTGCCCTCTGTTATGTAAATAGTTTGTATTCATTTAACCCCTAAAGAGCTGCTTATTTTTAAAAATCCCTTAATACAATCACCCTCTAATTAGCAAAACTTTGAATTTTCCTAAATCACATTTCAAAATGGTTCTGTGCAAATACACAAAAAGTAAATGCCCCAAGACAAACAGAATTATCATAATCAC